ATTGTATGTACTAGAGTTCAAAGTTCAAATTTACAAGGTAAACATAATAATACTAGATTTTTCCGCCCTCCTGTCATATTGCGGATTTAGAAGCTACCTCTTCTGACTTGCTTAATGGAGCGTTGTGAGGGAAGATGCTACCTTGTCACTCTAATGTGTTGTTTTTGTGCACTTGTGTACGTTTTAATTTTTGTATGTCACATGTCTGATTTTGTATGGATACACCATGACTTTAGTGTCAAACTTATAAAATTATATATTTAAAAAATATTATTGTACATTATTTTCGTGTTATGAATGTGAATCAATATTATGTTGTTGTCCTTTTTGATAGAGTTAAGCGCAATTTATATATCCACCAGATTTTTTTTTTGTATATAATTGGATAAATCTGAGATTTGTTTCCTTTAGTATATTTAGATATGCAATTGTAGATAAAAGATATACTAGTCTTTCCAAGAAAGAAACTTAAAGTACACTATAAAGTTTATGTTCTTTCGAATAGGTTGTATCAACATTATTTGTTTTTAAATTACTAGGCTTATCTACCAAATTACAGCATTGGTTCTTTTGTGTTATATTTACAGTTTACCTTCTAAATCAAGAGCACTTTTGGCACCTGAAAATTTGGTGTGGTCTCAGGGTTCGATTTCTTTGAAAAAGTGGTCTCGAATTAGAGGGGGTCTCGAATTAGAGGGCGACGAACTGTGTATTGTTAGAGGATTTGTAATGAACATTTCATACATTTATAATTTCACATCTTTTAAGGCCTGTTTATACTTCAACGATAACGATAACGATAAAAAAAAAAAAAGCTAAAAAGCGATTGTTCTTATAGAAAACAAATGAAATAAGAGAAGTTTTTAGACTAGGACGATTCGATAACGATTTATCGTGTATACGATAACAAAATATTTTAAAAAATAAAAAATCAGATGACGCCATAATCATGGAAAAACGATAAAATCGTAGCTACTACTACGATTTTAATGTTTTTCCACGATTATGACGTCATCTGATTTGATTTGTCAAAATATGTTGTTATCGCATAACTGATAAACCGTTATCGAATCGTTCTAGTGTACAAACTTCTCTTATTTCTTTTATTTTCTATATGAACAATTGCTTTTTAGCTTTTTATCGTTATCGTTGAAGTATAAACAGGCCTTTATTCAGTAAATTTTTAAAGGTATTTTGAGAAATAATTGGCATATATTAATCGAAAACGTGTCATATAATTATTAGTTTATGTGTCTTTGTTGGTCTTATTATATGTGTATATTTTGGACAACAACCTCAAAGTTCGCATTTTTAAATATATGTATTTTGTAGATATCAAACTTGCCATTCGCTTTTTACTGTCTGGAAATAAATTTATTGAAACGAAGACTGCTTCGTCCGTCT